AAAAACATCTTAATGCTGGATTAGTTTCAGCTTTTGTCTTCTCCAGCTGTTCACTGATGGACTGGAGTGCTGTGGATTATTGTGATGTTTTTATCATCTCTCATTCTGACGGCACCCATTCACTGCAAAGCATCCATTGCTGAGACACTGATGCAATGCTACATTTCTACAAACCTGATGAAGAAACAAATTCATCCTAATCTTGGGATGGCATCTTGGATGACCTAAGGCTGAACTATTCTTTTAACTCTGGATTAATCATGCATTTATTTACTACTAAATAATTATATAGAGTTGCCAAAAAGATCACACACCTTTATATCATCCAAACCTGAAACAAAAAAAATCAATTTAAACTCTCAACAAAAAAGAGATTGGACATATATTCTGTTTTTATCCTGAGCAAAAGACTCACATTTGTCTCACACTGCTCCCAGATTTGCCAAGATAATATAGTTTATAGCTTTTTAAGAAATGTTGTGCTCCTTCAGAATGTTGTTTCTTTTAAAACAAAACGTATGTGCTTTTAAATTGTATCTGTGTTGCTATTTCCGCCACAGGACAGAGCAGCTTATTTATAACCCTTTGCACTATATTTCCTGATAAAACTTTACAGAAGGTTTATTTATCAGGGGTTTTAAGGGCTTGACCATTTGTCCAAACACATCTCCTGTGAGAAACTGCAAAAGAGTTGCAAGTTTTCCGGTTATCACCAAAGTTGTGAAGGGAAATAATTGAATATGAGATGAAACAGTGTTGCATTCCTTAAAAGCCAGACATTAAAGAAGTGCAACTAGAAATCAGTATATATTAAATATTATTATAGAATCCTTTGCACTGTTCATTATGGACACTAACATTTGACAGCAACATAGTGGCTGGATTGGCTTGATTTTGGAAATGCTTTGCTTGAAAAGAGTTTGTGCTGTCTTTCTGTGAAGCAGATTCACGTGATATCTTCCATCTAATGTAATGTCATTTAAGTTGCATGAATTTTGCATTAGATATTAGATATGCAATATTCATTTATGGCATTTTACAGGCTCTGCCAACTGTTCTTTACTGTTGTAAAACTCTGAAAGCGCTTCAGTGACGTGAAGACTGTTAAACTACTGGTCTTTTAAATGCTAAAACAGAATTTAGGCATCACAACATTATAATGAACTGTGTGAAAAATGGATATTCATTTTCAGATTTGTTGACGATTACATTTAACAATGTTTACAGATTAACTTTAAGTTAGACCAGAGTAAAGGTATTCTACATGTAAAGGAAATGAGTATGCATGAAATGTAATATCCAATATCGGCCAACATCAGTAAAATATACTTTTAAAAACATATCTAATATCAGCAGATAATCAATATAGTACCAATATTCTGTGCTTCGCAGATTCATCTGTCGATACTCATCTGTGAAACCAATTTCATTACAAATTAATTCTTACAATTCATTTTCAAGTAATATTTGTACATTTTGAGTGTAAAATACATAAGATATTATTTGCTATACTATATTTGCTAGAAAGTGTGGACACGCAATGAGTATTTTTCTTGTTTTTTAGTAACATTCTTAAATCAAAGATACGTTTACTTGAGAAGCAAAATAACTTAAGAT